GCCTGGGGGTGCTCAGAATACAGGAGTTATTGTCTCACGTGAGAACCTGTCTGCTTGTGCCTCAGGAGGGGTTCAGAGACGAACCACCACGCACTCTCACATTCAGCCCTCGGGGTTATTCAGAGTGCTCAGTTAGCCTAGGATGCGTGATTTTTGGAGGAAGGAATCGGAGCGCCCGCAGAGAACCTGACAGAGTCTTGCATATTCCCGGTGCCACTGATGTAACACGGTATCATGAGAGTCGGGTTTCCTCCGCTGACAAAACTCCCCCTTATCAGAGTTAATCTGCCCCTGGAGCAAAAGGCCTCTTTTTATCTTTTACCCAGCTGGAACGCTCGCCGTCACATGGTTCATTCACAGTCTTTTGAGGGCAACTGGAGACAGCTTGGGGTTCACACTGTGCCCACACACCCCACAAACAAACAAAAAATCACCTATCGGCTGAGCCAGGGTCATAAAGCGGGGTGGGGGGGGGGGACTTGGCTGTGGGTTCAACAAGATGCAATGATGGTTTTGGATGTTGAGGAAGTAGAGATGTGTCTGATGAGGTGGTTTTGTTTTGTTTTATATGCAGCTGCACATTTGGCCATAGTTTTAAAACCAGAGATTGTGAAGAAGTCCTCTCCCTCTGAAGGGTCCAGCAGCATGGCCTCCCCCTTCCGATTCCCTCCGTGTACTGTGAACTCTGTGAATAAGAAGGAGAGAGACAACCACAACTGAAACCTCTGATGTCTCACCAGGTCGTTTTAGTTTGACAAAGGTCTTGTTATGTTGCTGAGCTCTGGTCCTAAAGTCGCCCTTTGTTTAAAGAAATCAAGTCACAGGATGACCATAAACAAAATCAGCTTTGTTTCAGCGTCAAACACCCATAACTGTTGAGAGTCAACACCTTCTCCCTGTGTGTGATGCGGCCTCGTGGTTCATCGATTTTACCGATGTCAGGGATCAATGTCTCAGTTATTATCCATTTACGATGGAGGAAGTTGTAACACACCTTTTTACAAAGGCCACAGCATTTTTTCCCAAACATAACAGTCGGGGAGAAATTCTGGGGAGGATACATTTTCAAATGTCCATTTGTTCTCCTTAGTCCCCTTCATCCTCATAACCCTCCTCTCTTGTATCATTTTCCTTTTCCCCTTGCTTTCTTATGTCTTCATCATCTATTTTTATTTAATTGAGTATGATGTTGTCTTCATCTCTGAGCGTGTGTCCGTGTTTGTTTGGATCAATCAGAACATGGAGACATGGAGCAGAACTTCTGGGATTTACACACACACACACACACACACACGACAGACACATGGATGATCAGATAATCGTGCTGACAGGTGTTCATAATGGCTGTGAAGCGACAGATTAATTTGTGTGTGACAGGGGCCTCTGTCTGTGTGGCTACCATCCCTATAGTGACTTTTTGGAGGTTGACATAATCAAGAAAGAAATAATAAACATATAAAACATGGATGGAAATGAAAAATAACCTATTATTTAGATGATTACAGTTTGATGACAGAATAACTTTAGATTTTAAGGGTATGTATGAAGACATTTGTGGATTGACAAAAGAAAGAAAGGTTGTCAGTGTGTGTTTGTGTGTGTGTGGGTGGGTGTTTGTGTTCAGAAGTGGGATATATTAGACTCAGACAGCTCAGTGCATGAAAAAAATCAGAAAAATTAAACCTGCACGTGTGGGCTTTTAAGACTAAGTGCAAATGCTAGTGCCCTCGGCCTCTGGGAGTGTGTGTGAGCAGCCTCGGTGCTTACGGTGGATTTGCTGTGTCCCGAAAAACAGCTTGGATAGAGAGAGAGGGCCCATTGTTCCCGCGGTTAATACTGCAGTCGTACGGATCACTCCGGCGCTGATAAAGAGCCAAATCCCACCAATCATGATCCCTGATACCCCGCTTTCTTTCAGTCTCTCACAAAAGTTTCAGTCTTTGGCACAATACACATCACATTCCTCACAAACATTTCGGAAAGCACACCTGATAATGAGCAGCACCTCTGAGGCTCAGGGGTGGTGTCTGCAGGGAGCCCCTGAACCTTCTGACCATGCGGGGTCTCTTCTGGTTCTTTTTTTTCCTCACACATTCAATATACTGCTGGTGTCAGAGTGTGAGCATCAGTTGTTGTTGTGTTTGTCTGGGTCAGCCCAGTGATGGAGGTCCAACCTGCCCCAAATGGGCCTCATTTCTCCTCCAGTGTATATTGGATATGTTCAAATCCCCTTGATTTCTTCCACAATATCTTCGTCGTGAAAGCTATGGTAAAGTTTTGTATGGATTTTAATTGGATTTGCCATCAGTTCCATACAAACATTACAGTGCTTTTTTCAAAACTATATTAATATAATATTAAGGGACACTCAGAAAACGTTTAAGATGTTGTAACCACACATCAACAGTTTAGTCAATAGTAGAAAAGTGACTGTATGGATTGTTGTCTGTATTGCAAAGTTAACTGGCACAAACTGAACCTAATTGACTCCTATTGATTCAACCTTTCCTTAAACCTTTTCCTCCAACAGAATAAGTGTTCATAAATTATATTTTTGTGAACTTCTTTGGTGACCAAAATACCAACACCCTCTGTATTTATAGTTACTAGCAGAAAACTGTCTACATTAAGGCACTACTTTTTTTTTGTCTAATTCCATTTTTTTGTATCTATTTAATTCTATTTATATGGATACGTATGTATACACAATATGTTGCAATGTTACATTAGTCATGTAACATTCATATAAAGTACCCAACAGTAATCAGCAGTTCTGAGAATTACAGAGTGAAACTATGAGTAAGATTATTAGGATGTGTCACTTAATTTGAATACAGATAGTACATGTAGTTTAGTTTGTATTTTTTAACCTTTCAACACATGGGGATGATAGATCACATTATTTACTTTTTTTTCTTCAATAACTATAATTGATGTGTCTTGATCACAAACATGTTGAAACCAACTGTCTCTGCAGGCCATGCTTCCTGAGGACTGATCTCAAAATTTTGTCTTTTTGAGGCATTAAACACAGTGATCATTTTGATAAATTCCTCCTCTGCTTTATTATAAGACAGTGATCCTTTCTTGTATATGGAAACTTGCAAATATATTTTGCTTAGAAACAGACAGATACCCTAAGAATTCATCCATTATGAACAAAAACTGAATGTAAATTAGATATGGAAAGCAGAGCTGTGGGATGTGGAGTGTAGGCGACAAATAAAGGCAATACGCTGTGTTGAGCAGGGCGACAGAGCAATTATTCACAAGAACCTACACAATCATTATTTGGATTGTTGCACGTAATGATGGAGAACAGCGTAGCCAAATAAAAAACACATATTGTATATGAAGTTGGAGGAGCTTAAAGCTGTTGTATTTAATAAATTATTCATATTTTTAAATTATCAAATTATTGGATGTTTGTATATTTTACACAAGTGTGTATATAGATAGATAGATAGATAGATAGATAGATAGATAGATAGATAGATA